ATGAGGGTGCATGAGGCTAAAAACCTGCAACACGAGCGAATATGCTTGAGAGGCCGATCATTAGGATGAAGTAGTTTGCATCCATGATCAATAGTGTTATGGAATGTTTGCCGAATGGTTGATCATTAGCATCAAGTAATGATATACTCACAATTGATAGACCCACTAGGTTGAACACGAGTTAACTAACAACTTTAATGGTGTACACATGTTGGAGCAATGGTGGTCCTATTGGATCATCCTTGAGTTGGTGAATTAGTGATCATGAGGTTTAGAATGTTATTGTGATACTCATCATATTGCTTTATGAAACTTGCAAATTGTGCATTTTTAGTCATGCAATCATAGAAAATATATCAAATTGCGTCTTAATCAAATAAATAACATGTATATCATCAACATAGGACTAAGTTCTAAACTAGGGTCATAATCAAAGTGGTGCCCTAAGCTACCCCACCCATCAAAATAACCTACATGTTGACAAGTGGATCGAGTGGTAAGAGTCAAACATAATATTTATGTGTGATTTATGCAGAATAAAACATTCACATAAATGAATGAATCATCAAGTCTTGAATGTTCTTGCAAGATCTTAAGGTAGCATATGTGTGCACTAAAATGAGTGCACAAAAAGAGTGCATTGAAGGTCACCATATGCATGGAAATATGCACAATAATGATGAGTAATAAACATGCATGGAGATGCATGCGACAAATAGCAATAATTTATGTTGCTAATGAATGATGACATGTGTCATCACAAGCCAACTCATTATGAGTAGTTGAACAATAAAGTGAATCGTCATTAACCAATAGGTGAATCATTGATGAATCATAGCTGGCACGATTAAATAAAATTAAGTGATGCTCATCCTATAGGATTTGGTCCGTCTAGGGAGAAACATGTTTATATGGGTAGGAAATAGGATTCAATTGTAATGGTATGAGTCATGGGAGAACTGCATTAAGCTTGCAGACTAAGGCTTCATTTGAGGCTATTATCTTACTATTTTATAAAATAACTTTTAATTGAAATATTTATTGAAAACAATAAAAAAGTAGTGGCCAAAAGCTATCCCAAAAGAAGCCTAAATGGTTAGGAGACTTTGCAGGTGTCATTTTATGAGGTAGTTGGTGTATTATAACCAAATCTTTGACTATAATGAATGGTTTGTATGCTACTGCTGAGAAGGTAAGCATATGAAGTATGAAGCCGCAAAGGAGTGTGGGGAGAAAGCGTGCATCAAAGATGGTTGAAGTAAGGATATGGAGGTTGAGATGAGATTACAAGGAGATGTTAGACTGCTATATGGATATTGGCAAGGAGGAAGATGAGCTGTAGCTAGGAACCAAAGGCCAAAAGAAAGTCAAGCCTGTGGCTTCATGCACTGGAGGCGGCTAGGGATATAGTAGAGGAGGTAGGTTTGCATATAGTATAAGGTGGAGAAATCTCTCCTCCTTGAGTAATACATTCATCATTTCATCCTACACCTTCATTACTACTCACTAGGATGAATCAACCACTCCCAACACTTGTTAAGTAACGTCCTTCCATAGAGAAAACATTTGAGATTAATGATCTTACCCTTGCAATAAGAGGAGAAAGATTCAAACAAGCAAGATGAATAACCTTGAGGATCAAACATACATTGAGGATATGACTTGGTGTATGGAAAAAAAAACCCTCTTTTACTTTCTCATTAAAACCTCTTTTAGAATTTGCAAGTGACTAATCCACATTTACTTTTTATTAACACTTTCATAATACTCCCATGGGCTCAATTATTAGCCCCCGATTAAATTAAATAAGTTATTAATTAATGATAATTTGAATTAAATTTCAATTTCTAATTGAGTGCCACGCATGAAATAGATTGAATAGCCGAATCAACCTGATTTACTAAAGAACTTAAGATTGTATTGTATGATCTTCATCATATATTATGGTTCATATGTTTATTTGATAGAACTAAAATATGATTTGATTGTTATACATGCCGTTATTTCAAAATTAGACTAGCTTCATGCTATTCGAACAATACCATTCAATACAATTTATAGAGAGATTACATCAAATCAATGGATGTTCGATCGATTTGCTCATTTCAATTTTTTAATAAGGCATATCATATGAGACAATATGTATCTTATAGTATAATAAGTAGATCAATCAAAATTAAAATGGGATTACTTTACAAATTAGGTTGTTTGAATCAATTCCAATGAGAGAGAGAGAGAGAGAGAGAGAGAGAGAGAGAGGAAGATAACTATTTACTTAGAATTAGGGGTGTAAACAAGTCAAGTTAAGTATCTGCCTAATCGAGCTAAGCTTGTTTAATTCTTCCTAAGCTTGAGCTCATTTATAAAGCTCGAGATTGACTAGTTAAAAAATTTATAAGGTCAAGCATGCTTGCGAACTCATTAATGAGTCGAGCTCAAACAGGCTCACGAGCAGGCTCGTCTCACTTACACCCCTACTTTGAATAATGTAATCCTTATCCTCAAACATCATTGACCATCATAAAAAAATTGAATGTTTAGAATTTAAAGTTGCTAAAAAGATAAATTTTTACTACTTTTATATATTACAAATACTTGATTATGATAAGTGTTTTATCTTTCTAAACATATACTAATTTAACTTTATATATATTCAAATTTTAGTAAAGTTGCTTGTTCTTACATCGTGCTGCGTCAAATATTTCATATGGTCGTGTTGGTTTATTAATATAGAAGTTCAGATTATGAGTTGATAGAATGAATATATGTGGGGAGAAAAAGAGTAGGTCTGTAGTATCTTCTTTCCTAACAACATTCTTCTCATCACATTATTGCCACCTTTTCTCCCACACTTTTCCTCCTTAGACCTTTTATCATAGTAGGCATAAATTTAGCTTGAGCTTGAGCTAGATTAATTTATTAAGTTTGAGGTCGAGCTCAAAATCTACAAGATCAAGCTGGCTCATGAGCCAATTTGTTTATGGCATAAGAAAAAAAATGATTACGATTTTAACAATTATTATAATAAAATTATATAAAAAAAGAGAAATTATTATGATGAATGATAATGAATTATTTAGTATAAGAAAGCGAGATAATTTTTAAATATTTTTAATAGTTTTATGCTTTAAATCCTATATTTTAATTTATTTTGTATAGTTTATTGAGCTCGACTTATGAGTTATTTATCGAGCCGAGTTCGAACCGGCTCAGAAATTTTAAAATCATTAGATCAGCTTAGATAGAAGTGATATATACATAATTTTTATTTCGCTTATTCACATCCATCACAGTCAGAAAACCGTACGGTTCTCTATATCTAGTCTCCGCACGTAATAATCTCTTGTGATATGCACATACTGCTTATTAAAGCTCATCATGAACGAAATTGGTCAAGCTAGTTTGTATTCAAACTATTATTCGAGCGTTGTACAATTACATGAATAAGGTTTGAACATAATTGACAAGCTTCTAATAATATTCGAATATGATTCAAATTGTTCAAATTAGGTTCGAACCTATTCGAACAAGGTTCAAACCTATTCAAATAGGGTATGAATAAGATATTACAATAGACATTACAATAACGTTATCTTTTGGAATACAAGTAATAGTAACAAATCAATCATATACAAATCAATATAACTAATGACATGCAATTCAAATTGGATAATAAAATAAACAATTAATTTTTGAGCTTTATTCAAAGTTTGCTCAAATGCTTCTTCAATTTTGTTAACCTAAAAAATTTTTGGTATGTCTATAAAAGAACTTTTTTTTTTGGCACTATGCATTATAAGGCTCAAGAACTTTAACAATGAGATTCCTCCTAACAACTATCAGGTTTGAACTTACATAGTAATATTCATTACAATATGATGAGTATAAGTTCCACGATGTGCCTATAAATATATTGTAAATAAAGCATTGGCAATATTATTATGCCTATAAAAAAGAAACTAAAATTTCTACCAAGCACATTGACTCCTTGAGTCTAATTATAAAATACATCCACAAATCATTGTATATATTTTTTGAGTCAACAACTACAAATGCCATAAAGGTACCATTCACACGTAATATTGGATGACGACATTTTTAAAGCATTATATGCAAATGCTTATGAAGAGGCAAACATACTTAAAATATCCTTAAGTGTACTAATTAAACTTGATTTTTTTTTTTCTCTTTAACATGGTTTGATATGATGATAATATCAGAAAGGATGCCTCAAGAGAACTAATTATGTATTTGATATCTCACTTACAACCACGCCAAGACTTTTCATAAAATAAATCAATGTCATAATGTCTCTTCACTTCTAATATTATTATTTTTAGCTTCATATTAGGATCATATCTAATGAGCTTCTCCTGTAATAAATGTCCAATAAATCATGATCAAACTTGTGATGATCTTTTAGTCTAACATCAACAGCTCAAGTGTTTGGTGATTCATAGCTCATGATCTCAAATATGTTTGATTTTGCCAATTTTATAGCACACAAGCTCCATGAATTTTTTTTAAAAATACAACAACTATACCAATGCCTTTACATATTCATTACCTCGGATTGAAAGTTATTCATTCATTGCATATAGATGTAACATCCCTTTTAACTCGTCATTTTTCTCAAAACATTGACCAATTTGTAATTGCATTGACAACAAACTTGAGAATGAAGTCATTATATCAATAGCCATTAAATTGAAGGTACTTTCAAGCGCAGATCTTTATAGGATAAGAGTTATCCATGTGTTCTCTATATCACGACTTATTTCTTTAAGCCTAAGGTATATGAAGAATTTAAAAACCTCACTTGTTTACTAATTTCAAGTGCATTACAAAAGGATGGGGGGGGTGGAGGGGGGAGGAGGGTCAACCAAATAGAGACTATGAACTGGCAGGGACTACCAAAACTCTATAGTCTATCGGCATAGACAACGAAAGAATAAATCATGGATAGCTTTTACTACGACTAACAAGCCTGCAGCAACAAATTTAATTTGAAATAATAATTCTGATTGTCAACAAAAAAGAAATATTCAAGAACCACAAGATCATAGTTGATACAATAGAAACATGGAAACAAAAACAACAGCATAAGTTCACTAACATGGCAAAAATAAGAAGATGGAACAATCAAACAGAAACATAAACTAGACTTCATCAATGTTAAATACTTGAATGATTGATTATCTTTAAAAACATATAAGCAACTACTGATCATCTGCAATTGATCCCTTCTCACTCACATAGATACCATCAAGAAACTTTCTGATGTCCTTGTTTTTAACATGGCACTTCTGTTAAGTGGAAAAAAATCAGACAGTATGCGTCAGGAAAATGCAGGACTGACTTTATAGAAAAATATTTTAAATTTGCTTAGCAATCTATCAAGTAAAATAAGTGTTTAACCTGATTAATTAAGGCAGCAGAACGAGAGACAAGCTCAATGTCATTTCCATCAAGGACTAGTTCATCCTTAACCTTTTCAGACCGGACGATCGACACTCCTTCAAGCATATCCACCTTTCGAACCTAAAAATGTGAAATGAACTATTTAACATACAAAGTGAGGAAAACAAATATACTTGCATGACAATTTGTTGATAGCATAACAGAGAATCTACATGAAGAACAATCTTAGTGGGAAAAGAACGTTAAAGTCTATTGATTGGTCTACAAGTTGTAGGTCTATAAATAATCACTAACCCATATGAACTGAAATTAAAGCATTAAAAAATAGCATTCAAAAAGTTCAAAGCCACATATCATAACTATTAACGAAGTTCATACAGGATGATCGCTTATATTCCTTTTTTATGTCCCATTGTTGCTGCTTGGTTCCTAACACTTGGATCCTTGATGTTCTGATCTGCGCTGTGGCGTGGCCTTCATTTTGACTTATCAGACTAACTGCTTGACTGCTGTTGCATCGCTGAAGCAGAAGTCAATCAGTCTTCTCTAAGCAGTATTTTTTGAATTTTTTTGTGGAAATTTGGCTTCTATTTTATGAGGCTCAAGTAGCTGAAGAATGTTTCATAGCTGCTTTTTAACTATAATTTATAGTATGAGGCAGGCACAAAATTGACCATTATCTTATCTTCTAGTTTGACGTACAAATCCTTCTTCTACTATTTATTTCTAGAATTAATAATCAAGAAAGAAACTCGAGGAATTCTATAAGATTATCTCCTTGCATAAATATGGGACTAACCTTTTCTAGTGATTTATTTCCATCATATACTTTTCTGATGTAAGCAAGGCTGTCCCGATTGTTGGCTGTTTGGTTCCTGCTCCCTGCTGTCCTGATTCCCCTTGCTTTGGGTTGTTCGGTTCCTACTTCTTGCTTGGTTGTTCGGTTCTGTTTTTGTTGGCTGTTTGGGCGGCTGTTTGGGTGTCCTTTGGGTTGTTTCTTTCCTATTTATATTTCCTATTTATAGGGTTGTTTGTGGCTGTTTTAGGAGAGTTTTTTGTATGAGAAAACATTTGGAATGCAAACCTGCGGTTTTCACTAGCATGCGAGCTAGCTTCTTTCCTCTTCTCCTCTCTATAACTTTGTTTCGGGCTTCTTATCTATTGCTTCTCTCCGCAAGTTTCCACCCCATTGTATATTTCTTCTCTAAAATATATAAAAGTTGCGTTGTGATTCATGTGTTGTCTTTTTTATTTGTTATAGTAAGATTTTGTGTCTTATTTAAGTTTGTTAGTGTGTTAATTGTTGTCATTTCGAAAGGAAGACGTTTAGTTTTTTGCAACCTTAGTTTCCTAAAATTTGGTTGCATTATTTTGGTATCAAAGCTTTAGGTTTTTGTTGGGTCTTCCTTTCTTTTTTATTTAAGTCTTTTAAAAAGAAAAAAAAAATCAAAATGTTCTTTGGGTATTGAAACTGGAAAAGACAATCAAATCAATCATCGTGCCAAAGTTCCAATTTAAGAGGAAGAACTATCATCGGAAATACCACATCTTCAAAGTTCTGAGGTCATCTCATTAGGAGATGAGAACTCTCAACCGGGGGAGATTTGATGCAAGCAAGGCTATCCCGGTTGTTGTTTGTTCAGTTCCTGCTCCATGCTGTCCCAATTCCCCTTGCTTTGGGCTGTTCGGCTCCTTCTCCCTGCTTGGATGTTCGATTCTGCTACCTGTTGTTCCGGTTCCTCTTGCTGGTTGTTCGGTTTCTAAGAGCCTTAAATGTTGCCTTTTTCCCAAGGGATTTTCCTGTTTTTGGTTGGCTGTTTGGGTGTCCTTTGGGTTGTTT